GACGGCGCGATCCCAACCAAAAATTGTTAGCTTTCAGTGAGACCAGTCAACACCAAGCCAGCTGGTGCGCACAAAAGGACAAATTACTAGCTTCCTTTGGGCTAAAGTACCGGGTCTGATTAGCCCACTGGCTCCGTCCCACCGTTTACTGCTACTTACTCCTATTTCATTGTGTAAAACTCATGGTTTTTAGTATTGCGCCTGAATAGATAAAAGCAAAATATCGCCGACCCACAGCCTTCATCTTTCAACCGTATTATTCAGATTGCCACTAGGATAACTTTATATAGTCCATCGGATGAAAGCGTCCCCTGCTCGAAGACTTTATTGCAGACTTTAGGGAGACACTGAACAGATCAAAATTATTTCTTGTTTCAGCACACGCACAAGAATCATCGGAAAACCGGACTACCCAAAAGCAGCTGCGTGCACATTCCAAGCTTCCCACAATCCCCGTGAAAAAGCAGCAAGCCTTAGAATTAAAGATGTTAACAGTAGAGGCCTCTGAGAAACTAACAAATTCCTCCCACGGGCCGAAACGAAAAGCGCTCTGATTCTTATCCGTCATTAGCACGTGACCACGTGGGGCAGCTATAAGCGGTGAAAACTTCGAACCAAAGGGATAGGTGTTACATAGACCCGATGAATCTCGACCAGGATGGGAATGCTTTCCACTACCAACCACTTTCTGCTCCTAAAGGCTATCAGGTGAATAGGTATGCCCTGCACGGTTTGGTATATGAAAGCCCAACAACTGTGGCAAGTAAGAAATCACGTTGTGAACGGATAATGAAACAACGTACTGTTACACACACTTGTTACACTCACTTGCACACTGGCTGCTTTCTAAACGACAGACGCAGTATGTGATGTTCTTCAACTGAATATGCTACACAAAGATGACCTCATGTTTCAGTTAGAACGATGTTTGCTATATCGCAGTACAACTTTTAGGAGAAACGCTACCCGTAATACTGTTGATTACTCAACGACATCCTACGACCGGTTCTACCCTTCTTGGGTTGACAGAAACACGGGGACTATGTCCGCCTGATGAGTCCAAAGCAGAGCGAAACCAGACTTGGGTTTCCGAAGAGATTTCAGCAAACCCAAGAGCAATGTTGTGTCAAGAAAATATCATGACCTCGATTATTCCAATTCCTTTGAAAAAATGTGACCACGACAGATTGACTGGAGTTGTAATCTGCCGAATAATGGAAAGCTGCCCCATAAGGGAGATTACATACGGCATACAATTTTCGACAATTACTGGTCTTTCCGGAATACTAAGCGTGCAGAGAATGACTGAATTCTTGCAGTCCGAAACAGGGTACGATAAATTTGTCAGGCACAGATGAAAGTGTCATATGCTGAAAGTAATGCAAGTTTGCACTTGTAGGAAAAAAAACTTTTCCCGGTCCTGTTCTGTAAAAGGCTCACCCAAAGTTTGCAATCTGGTTTATGTAGAACACTGAGTTTTTAGGACATATGATGGTGATTGAATGCCACATAAGAGGGATCTGCAACCGTGGCTCAGGGCCTATAAGAAACAGCTCCGACTAATCCCTTTAAAGTACTAGAAGCACAGATACTTGGAAATTTTTAAGCTGTTGTAGGTTTAGGAACAACTAGAATAACAGCACCGTGAAGTAATATTTTCAAGAGTGAACAAAATCTCAACAATTGCTGCGATTACCTTCAGCATATGTGAATAATTGTTCCAGTCAGGTCTCACAAAAATTCGATCTAGATAGGCACACAACAGCTGTTCGACTATTTCCATGGGAGGAGGTTGGTTATTTTTCACTTTCTCAAAGGTGATTTTCTGGCTTGACGGCTCTAGAAAGCCTTTGAATGAAGAATAATCATATTTGTCCAGTCGCGGAGAATTGCGGTTCAAATCAACTGCAAAGTCGTTGGGTGAATCTACTGGTGCTGGATGTTTTAGTGCTACAGTAGCACTTTGTGGTCACTTTAGCTGCAACGTCGCACGATCATGCAATTCGTCAGTGAACGTCACGTGACAGATTTAGAGAGCACACGCAACCACAAGTCCCGCGCGGTACAATCAAAGTAAACCATTTTGTGACGTGGGTGTCGACCACGGACACCAAATTGTTTTCACAGACAGCAAAGAAAGGTCACCAAGCGCAAAGCGTGCAGTAAATAGGTCAACAAATGTGAAACATAGTAAGGACGGGCGCAACAATGGATGCGAAAACTTCGTTTCAGGCAAATTTTGTGGTACAACAGCTACTAGCTGTGGTCGGGACAAATTGGGTCCATCACCTTAGTACTGGCGCTGACCGCTTTGTGAATGCGCGCGCTAGAATATGATCGATTTCCAATAGACCATTTCCGTACAACTTCTGTTAGCAGCACTATCAAAGCATATCTAACAGAGAAAGCACTAACTGAATGCTTCTACTGGTCCGCCACTGAAACCTAAGAATTCCAAACGTTGAAAGCCCAGTCACTCATAGAGTATGATCACAAACCGTCAAAATAGTGATCAGCCGACTCAAATCCCGAGACACGTTTTCACCATAAAAGCATGCGCAACAGACAGAATAACCTTAAGTCAACTACTGGAATACCCACTCTAAGTTAACAGTTGTAGCAGTTGTTGATTTTGCATCCTTAAACTCAAAAACTACCAGCTCAATGTTTGGTCGATGCTCCGACCCAAAAGTGTTATTCAGTATTAGTTCTTTATAGACAGACAGGCATGACCGTTGGGCTTTTAATGTCCATCTTGCATATCCGAACTCGCACCACTCTGGTCTGATCAGTTCTTCGTCAATCATCTGACTTACCAAGTCTGCTACAAGACTTGGACATTTCGATTGATGTTGCGCGTGACAGCCGATTTCCATGATCCAGAGGTTGATCAAATTAAACGCGAACAACATCCTATTTTCACCTCAAAGAATACTGATCCATGCTTTGATCCTAGCAGGTTCAACGTCACAGCATTAGACAAGAGAAACAACTGGAACGGAAAGAATACCTGCATCCGAAATTAAGACGCATCAGGAGTACTTAGTTGGACCAGGCTTGGATCACCAAACGGTTTCCGGAGAAAAACTTCAGAATGAATGGAGGCAAATTTGATCCAGCTAAAATGGAGGTTGGATATTCCAAAATCGACAAAACAAAGTAGCCCAAGCACTGGATAGCGGAAGCAAACTCTGAATGTAAGGAAGCTGTAAACGCTTAGGTTTCACTCCAAGTGGATACTTTCGAAAATTGAACAAAAACGTTCAGTTTTGGTTGAGTGGATTCCCTTTACCACATACTTCCGAACTCTAAATAGCTCAGTGGTTAAGGCGCAAATCTACTGGCCGAGTGTTCTGTGGTTCAAACATAATCTGGGCATCTCGGCTACTGCCCTCTAGGTTTGGGCGACCTGGGCAGTAGCTTAGCGTTTATGCTTCCTTCGGACGATATGGCAGCTAGGAGTCGAAAGGGTGTTAGGGTTAAACGACTGTTTATTTTTTGTACTTCTTAGGTTAGGCATCATAATGGGGACGCTTTTGAAAGCATGGGTGACCTGCTTGGTGTCGTGTTAGGCCTTTGAAGACATTCCTGGCCAAGAGCACCGCTCTAGCTCAACAAACAGCAAACACCAATCCAACTAGCTCTAATGTTGCAGCACTTAAATCTCCGTCCGTCCGGTAATCACTAGTCATTTGCTCTATCACGGTTACAAGGTGGTTGCCAATTAGCTCAACATTCACGATCAATGAGTAATCCCTGTTATCAATTGATTTACATTTTAGCAAAGCATTTGGATACTTTTGGCCTGATATATATATATATATATATATATATATATATCTTACAAAGATTCATTGAGCAAATCGCAGTTTTGACCCTCGAAAACAGTCACTCAGAATGTCCTGCATTCAAGCCTGAGGTTGGTTACACATTTTATTTGATCACACGATGGTACGATTGTGTCTATTTGCACTGATCACCTAAGTGCATTTTTATCACCCAAAAAGCTTGGTTTTTTAGGTCTGATTGGATGTGAACAACTACTAGTGTCAAAGGTGCGGTACTGAAAGGTAGCTTATTGAATGGTATTAAATTACTGACAGGCTAAGTGAGTGAAAACTCGAGTTTCACGACGGAGCTTGAAATAAGGAATTGCTCAATTAGTGAGTAGACTTGTTGCGTTCCGAAATTTCTGTTGCTGTGGTTTTTTGACACCCCAACATGGACGAATTTGGTGGAATATCTCCGAAGCCTTACTGGGGCTGAAGCACAAGCTAACGTGCTTAGTTTCGCTGTTCGTCTGTATCTGTAAGGTGTTTCACCAATCATGTGCTGACAAACAATCGGAGATTGCGGACTTCGTCGGAATGCAGCAGAAAGCTTCACATTAGCTAGGAGGAAACTGCAAGTGCATCATGTTCGAAAGGCGTAAATGAATCGAAAAGACGATTACAAAAACAAAAACATTCGTATCCTAGGAGTCCTCACACAGAGGAACAATGAAGAGAGGGAACACTGTGCATGAACAGCATAATCAAGCTACTCAGTACCACGTGTTCTAAATTTCGGTTACACTTGACAACGAATTTGTAGCTCTGTAAATTGGAGTAGTTCATTATCCTGAAGTCCACCTCGTTCCCATGGTTTGTTGTCGATGTCAATAAAACATACGAGTTTTCCGAGTGTATCTCGGTGCATGATGGTAAACGTTTTATGACATGAATCATATGTGCTCACACAGATCAAAAACGTCTAAAAAACACTGGTCCCATGCTCTCTCCATCACTCACTGCTTTGTAAACATTTAGCCAGAGTCCTTGTGCTTGTAAAATAAAGGCCTCCGTTAAGATGTGTATCAGGCGGCTCGAGTCAAGTCAAGCAAAGTATACACGCAATACATGGTGGTGGGGGCGAGATAGCCCAGTGGTTCGAGCGCGAATTTACTGACCGGAAGGTCCGTGGTTCGAACCGACCTCTACCTCTCGACTTCCCCTGTCTAGGCTTTGGCAACCTGGTAGTATCCCAGCCCACATGCTTCCTTTGGGTGGCACGGCAACCAGACACCGAAAGGATGCTCTAGCTGAACGATTATCTCCAATGCATGGTGGTAACATGAAACTCATTTCAATGGAGCTTTGGACACTGGTTGTAAGGCGGGTCCAACTGGCTTTGGATTCCCCTTTGATGCTCACACACTACTTGCCCATCTCACTGAATGATTTATACACAAGATTCCTTTTTTAGTTCGACGTAAATGAACTAGAGAAGACCTGTTTCTGTTGGTTTCTCAAACGACAATTGCGGCCACAAGATGAAAGTGGTCAGAAAATAAGGACCCCAAAGTTTACGCATCGTTATCAAAGGTCCCTGTTGTTTTTCAATCCGCTAGCAACTCCAAAGTTATGGCCTTTAAACTACGTAGTTGCTGGACATCGTTTTTTCTAACTAGAAGTACAAACCGATGCGAATAGCACATAGGACGGTGTTAACGACGCTGACGCAAAGCTGGTGCACCAAGGCCAACCTCATTAGGAGGTGAAGCGCATTTATTTTTCATTACATAACTACGCCACGTCGAGGTTCTCAGCAGCCTTATGAGTAGTGTATTACGTCAATACAATGTATCACGATATCTCGAATGTCGTGTCAACTGAAATATGAGACGGCCTGGAACAGAATATTCAGTTGCTTGAAAACATCATAAACGATTGATTCAGCTTGGTTCCAGGTAAGTCACTCATGGAAATCGAATTGGTATGCAAATGAATGTATTCCGGTAATTTCGTACAATTTGGGTTCAGTTAAGGCTTAAAGTTGACGGGAACTCGAGGATTGAGCCTATCTGATGAGCCCCAAGAAGGGCAAAACCAGTCATGAGCTGTCGAATTCTTTAGCAGGCCTATGAATAGTGTATTGCATCTTGACAGAATAATGTTAAACGATCTACTTTGATAGGTGAAGGTGCATTCTGGCACGACCTCAGGAGGGAGAGCAGGCTTTAGATGTTTCCTCTCACTGAGGTAAACCCAGCAGTAAAACCTGGAACTTTGAATAGTGCATGCTATGCATTGTAGGTGTTCCGGATAGTTCGAAGAGATCAGTTATCGCATGTCGAAACAACAGGCGGTTATCATGCACTTGAAACTACGGGAAATGTAACGCTCGTTGTCTAGGGAGTAACCAGCACCGTAAATCGTGAATGTTGGCTAACCCAGGGGAGAGTATAACAGATGAGGCAAAAATTCATCCTCTTTATTTCTTTTTATGTTCCTACCGCGTAATTCCGATGAACACAGATGCGCGGTCACCCTATTATGGCATCAAGTAAGCCAGTAGTGATGGAGGCCGAAGAGGTCACGGTTACCCGCGTCCAGTAAGCAGAACAGTCTGGACACCGCCTGTCAACCTGCGCTCAGTAGTTGTGTGGAAAACGGTGTCCAAGCTAGCACGGAATGTATTGAGGGTTCTACTTCCGGTGACCATTTTCAACATTCTTTCGCCAAAATCACCGTTTAGGAATTTATAGTAGCAACGACAGTATCGACACTATAGGCTTGGTGACAGCATCCGTAAGTTTACGTGAAAATTCACAACTGTGGTTCTATATTCTACCAACCATTTGCTCCCGAATGGGCCGTCTGAAGCCTACTCGGAGCTCTGAATTGTTCAGCCCTCATAGGACGTTACCAAGCCAATTGGATTCAACCCGCGATCAATAAACTGTTACTAGGGTAACTTACCACATGGATTGTCATGCGGTATAAAGACGTCGGGTAAAACAGATGCATCTGGATTCTGTACCAAAAACTACACAGAACACAAGAGGTCACGTGTGTAAGATGTCTAATGACAATGTATTTTATGAAAAATCCTATTTGAAAATAAGTACCATCTAAATTAGACTTCACATCTGAAATTTCAAAGAGGTATGGAGCTATAACAAACAACGCGCGTGTGATGCAGATGAAAGGAAATGAATAGAAAAAACAGAATAGGAGCAGTTGGTTGAAAAAGATGAATATCATCATCATGGATGAACGAACAAACACAGGTGTGATCACTGAAAAACAACGAACCGCAAAACCAAACACAACGCACACGCACATAGTACACGACCGAAAACTCCGGCAGACAGAAAACGCTCGCCACAGACGAGAGTACGCGTATTACAGAAGGAAGTGCGATTGGCATAGCATGGGAATCGTGATACTGATGAAGATGACGATAATGACAGTAAGGAGGAAATGAATGAATGAGAACCCATCAAAGCAGAACATAGTAAAACCAGTAAAGGTGACCAAGGTCCGCCAATCGTGTGTGTGTGTGTGTGCGACCGCGTAGGGAGGAGCTCACAACGATAAGCCCTGTGTGTCTACTTGTATCACTGAAGCAGAGTCAAGAGGGTATGGAATGAATGATTGGCTAAGACCAACAGCCAATCGTGTGGTGCGACCGCATAGGGGGGAGCTCACAACGATAAGCCCTGTGTGTCTACTTGTATCACTGAAGCAGAGTCAAGAGGGTATGGAATGAATGATTGGCTAAGACCAACAGCACAGGATAAAGATCGAATACACCAGGCGCATAATATCTAGAGCCCAACTGCACCGCCTCCACCTACATCGGGAGAATCTTGTCGGAGCAACGGCACCAACAACAATAAATTGTTGCGCACATGGTCAACAGTCGAGGGGATGCGTGAGTGCATGGAGGAGTGCGCATCATATTGCATCATGGTATGGAGTGGGCAAAAAGAGAAAAGGCGAATCTGACGAAGCCAAAGCTCGGTAGTATAAAATGAGATACAGAAGAGGTAGGATGAACAAAATAAGCCGATCTCCGTAGAAAAAGTCTGAACAAATGGAAAATGACGCTGGAAATTTGAATCATCAGATGGCTCACGGTTATCCACTAAAAACAGTGATAAACTGATTTAAATCAAGGGATATTGGAGTACAACATGGAAAAGCAATGGGATGATAGGTGTACAGATACGAACAAACGGTGTGAAATTTGATGACCTGAGTATAAGTGCAATCAAGGTGTGTGTCTGACGTCCATGAGATGTCATATGATTCCGATGAAAGACTGAAGACGGTCCAAACAGCCGAGAAAATGAATATGAAACCTTCATAGAGAAGGCATGAAGAGGTGGTAGCAAACTGGTCGACACAGGAAATCGGAGAAAAATGCCGCAGGGGCGTGGGTAAAACAACGAGGGACTGTGAATGAGGGTGGGGATATTGAAAAAGAAACCCGGCAAAATTGGTCTCACCTAGCTCCTTTTGCAGAGCAACACAACCTAACTAATCGTGACGAATTTGAAAAACGAAATCAGGGGCTACTTTGGCGGGTCAGTTCGGATAAATTACTATGGCAGGTAAGAACTAGAAAGGAACTTCACCCAGTCCTGGACACAAACGGGAGGGTGACCATCCGACTACGCCACGCGTTTGGGTCCATCTGTGTTTGAATGTGTCTAGTAATAGCTTCGGACTACATACATCAAAAGAAAAAAAGGCCAGTTGAAAAGCCGTAACAAGGTCGTCGGAATAGCCGTAATAATTGCTATGCATAGAAAAGGTGTAGAACATAGGCGCAAAACATAGGAAGCAATAAGCCTAGGCAAGGTGATAGATAGATAGATAACATACAAGACCGGACTGAGCTGGTATGTAGTGTTGTTTGGGTGCACATGGGTTGACGAGGCGCGCGATAAAAATGACGAAAACACGTATGACGATGCCGGCATCAAGTGCCTTCGTGGCGCATTAGGCTAAACGGAACGGAACGAAAATGACAATGGTAGATGATGTTCAGTTCGAATCCACATTGCAAGCCGAGATTGAATGTCGAAGTGACATGAACAATCGTACAACTTCCCACCGATCAGCCACGTGACTGAGGATGCACGGTATCTTCGGCGAGGTGAGCAAAAGCACTGTCACTGCAAACCGGTTGGTCCGGATGTGATGGTTTGGACGAACAAAACGTGTCTGAATTCGATGATCCCGGCTTTCCTTGATTCCTCTCAGGCGTAGGCACCAAGCAGCACGACACGTCCGATTTTGTTCCCGTGGTTGATAAGGAACATTGAGAACTCCAAAGCTAAAATCAACATAGAAAACAACATACCAGCGTATAGTGACCGAGAAAACGGTTTCTGCTGAAACGGTTCGATCTCAATAGGGTAGTTGGTACACACTACTGAGGCGAATTGCGAGTAACTACCAAGTACCAGACATGTCGAAATTACGTTCAAGGTTAGTCGGCTGTTATGCTCAAATGCGCTGATTATTGTTACGTTTTAGTTTCACATTTTTATCAGTAGAATGAGAACTGATGGTCCTAGGAGAAGTTTGAGAGTAAGAAGTTGGACAGAACAAAGGAAGCTCCACAGATGTTGCAAATGAGTTAGTTCGCAGTGGTATTTGTCCACCAGCGCCTGACAGTGAACAAACTGGCTTCTTACGAAGATTGTACACATACGTTTTTTGTATGCAATTCTAAGTTCTAAAGGTTTCCTATTTGAGGTCAGACCAGTTGACATGTTGACAGTCTGGTAGTGCTCTGGTCTTCGCGTTTCCCTCAGGTTGCACGTGATCTGTAAACTTGTAGCTGCACATGATTTAGGAGAAAGACCGTTGTCCCTCATCGACGCTTTTATCGACTGGTATGCAAACGCCCATAAAACCCATTCGAACGGTCCAGTAAAGCTGATCGAGCTAAATCATAGCGAAAATAAAACTAAAAACACGATCGATTTACACGCAGTGCAGCGTAACATAAAAGATCAACTAATGCATCCGGTCTCACGTGGTGAGAATAGAAACCATCGTTCAGGTGTCCTTATGGTTGGAACTTACACAAAAAACACTTCAATGACTGTGCAGTAATATGCAGCCACGTCAGTCATAAGTGAAATTAGCAACGAACGACAGTTCAACAAAGACCGGTGGGAGCAGATATTTATCAGCTCCTACTCCCAAGAGAACCGTTACTTAGATGAATCCCGCTGAAAATATTGCTCACTGATTCTCTGGCGAACAATATGGGGCCGATAACTAACTATCTTTCAAACCCGTTTGACGGAAGGACGTTGCTGCATCTTGATTCCAACCCAGTTAGAGCCGCCTCATGATAACCATCGCATCAGTTAGAAGCTCGGAATGTTTACATGAAAAGCAACACCGGGGGTGTGAATGATGAGCACTGTCCGAAAAAAGGACAGACGCTGGGAAATTCTATGGAAGCTTGTCTAGTTGACTTCTCGGTTGGATTCTAGATAGGACACCCTAAATTAATCTTTATGCACCTTGCTGAAGGCTTGACGTATTTACGCTAATTAGCAGAAATATCATAATCACATAGTGGTCGACCCCATTGAAGATTTTTTGCAAATAGTGAAACCGTGACTATTGGAGTGCAAATAGCGACAGGTCTGCTTAGGGTTTGGTGCCGAAAAACAACTATAAGATCGCAATACGCGAACCATTTTGAAGAGGAAAACTCATTCTAAATTGCAGTTTAGATCGGAAGCAATGGTCACAGTCCGGAGGAACGTGCACACCAACAACGAGCGTGTCATCGCAGTTATAGATTAGGGAGAAATGAAACCCACATACATGCATAAGAAGCCATTTTTCCTTTTTCGAGATCCTAGTGTGTCAAGTTTAGTGTGTTTTCGGTTGACCAGGGCTTACCTGTGACGGCATGTGCTGAGGGTGTGATGTGGCGGGTAAAGTGCCAGAATTGATCAGAGCACTCACGAAAGGATTTGCAAACAGAGCAGCCAGAGCCTCTTGTTGTTGTTGTAGTTGGGTTTTCTCACTCACATTCAAAACTGTGCTCGGCGTTTGGACTGCCGTGGTGATTTGAACATTACTGTCCTCGCTTGCTACGCTTGAGTCCAGTTCTCCTATCTCTGCCAAAGGTGAACTTTCTGAATTTGTAAATCCGGTGGTACTATATCCCGTACTCTGTCCACTGCCTGTGCCGGCAGTCTCCGTGTCAACAAAAAGAGGTCTAGAGATGTCACTGGAAGACACATTCAGTGTACTAAAAAGTTGTCGTATGACTCCAAGGGAATCCCGTAAGTGTTCGGTCATAAAGTCGCGCTGCCGCTTCAAAGCCTCGACCTCGTGTTCTTTCTGAAACGATGGGGGAGATTACAGTATGCACATTACGAAATCTGAATGAACAAGGAAGATTCAGGGGTAAAACTAGGTTTCATCCTGGTAAAAGTAATTCGACCTTCCTGTTTTTAATTGATGATCATCAGCGTGCATTATTTTTATCACCCTCAAGAGTCTTCTAGAATGACTGTATCCTTAAGCGGAACGAAAAGTGTGTTAAGGTTATGAAAGTGATCCGCGGTCAACTGAGCTATAAGTTGACAGGAAAGCATGAAAATCCTCAACAAGGAACTCAGTTACATTGAGAACTGCCGACTCATCGGGTGGGGAACCTGGAGGAAGAGTCATCAAGCACTAGAGATACTGACAGGTACGTTTAGCGACTTCTTGATATTGAAGTTATGGTACTAACACGAACTTCCAATAAGATGACTCCAACTGTAGTGTAGTGTAGTGCGCCTACACAATCACGTAGAGGTTAGTTCACCATCCACACTAAAAACCGGGAAAGGAAAATACTCAGGCCGGAAAATTCGTTACTTCGATAGTGAACTGTTCAGTCTGGTAACTACCCACCCAAGAAGCAACGAGTACGCTAAAGTTAGCTCCACTGGTGTCTCTGTTCTGTGGCCGAAATTCGACACATTCGAGTTTCACGCGTGGCCACTCGTGGTAAAGAATAGCTATGACTTTCAAAGAGTCAAATATCCTCGGCATCCAAGTAGTCCGTTAGGCTGCATTTTTAAACAAAGTTGCGTATCATGTAAAACATTTCCCATGGAGCATCCATAATCGTCTCACAAAATGGACGCTAAGTGGCATGTAACACGCAGAAAGTGGCTTAACAGACAACCCCACTAGATAACGCAGTGAATAACATCATAGACTTCCATTTCAACGATCTGGGTTTGGATTCCCGCGTGAGCGCCCTCAAGTTGGTTGCCGGCCTCCGCACAGGTTATTTGATAAATTAGGACGCAGGCGGTACTTTGTTAAACAGAAAATAGGCAAATAACTCGAAACCCCGTGTCGAAATCAAAACGCCGGCCAGTACAGTCAAAGAAGAGTTCGACTCCTGTCAGGTAGATAGATGTCTTCGGTCCGCATTACGTTGGTCTGGTCCCCATGGGAACGGGGATACAATGTCAGAGGATTGAGATGGGCAACCTGCCCTTTTTGTGAATCTTGGAGTTAACGGTGTACCTCAGTTGAGGACTCATACTTGAACTAACGAATTGTCGACTACAATCGCTGGACGGAAACAAATCACCTCTAAGCCTAACCAGATTACAAACGGGAAACATAACCCTTTAACAAGTGGCTTTGTGCCGTCATGGTGATACCCTTGCCGAGATAAAAATGAAGACTGATAACAGGGTTAGGACTGTAGAAACAACACGACAAGGCTGGACATAGATTTCGTACAAAGCCACGGCGAACAGGAACATAGTATCGATACTTACCGACCCCAGACGCTGTCTTACTTCATCCAGTTCGCGCTGCAGCGACAAGCGTTCGAGCTCAGACCGAGGATTGCTGAACGGTGACGACATGAGGATGGGTGACTGTGGTAAATGAAGAAAGTTGACGTTTGAAGTGGCGTGTGTTGTAGCAGATGCATCAGCTGTGCCCGCACAAGCCTCCGGACTTAATGGGGGTGTACTGGAGGTCTCAGGTTTGCTGTCTCCGTGTGACTCCGGTTGTTCACCATGCGAGTGTGGGACAACAGAAACCTATAGAGAAACGGAAAGAAAAGCCAGTTGAAAAGCCCAGGTGAAGAGTATTCGAATGTCGGATACTACCGCTGGCTTAGATGATTCTCTTCGAATCGAACTAACGATGCAGACGATCAGTTACGTGATACATAACAATATGCTTCGACGACCCGAAACATTTTGAACACATCAGTTAGGGTGGGATAGGCTGGCTTTGCAGGATAGTTCAATAAGAATTGGGCGAACTTCCTATTGGGTACTACAAGGAGTTACTAGTGGTGCACACGCTTTCAAAGTGTAGCTAAATAATGCGATAGTTCACACCTAGCGAAATGCAATCCTTTGCAATAAGAGTTAGTGTTAATGGGAGACTCAACTGACATTCTTCAGCTAAATGTGCTACACAAAGTCCATCTCATATTTCGGCTGGTACGATATTTGAGATCTCGCGTTACATATTCCTGACGGATCACGTTACCCGTAAAGTTGCTGAAATCCCTCCGACAACCTACGATCAGTTTCACCTTGGTCCCAACTCATCAACGACGGGTAACAGGGCGACCGCACTGGTTGTTTGAGGGAATAAGTTGTCCGTTCTTTTCCTAAATGTGCGCCAAAGAGCAGTACAAAACAGGTAGAAACGTTCTGCGCGTATTGGCGCACCTGAATACATCGTCCCATACAACACACATACTTGTCAGACAGAGGAAACAGGATCTTTTATGCAGATAACTGAGAACCAGTGGAACGCTGTTAACTGGAAACAACACCGCTCACAGTTCTCCTCGCAAGGTAAGAACACACCGTCGTAAGCTGCTAAGCTGGAATGATGGAAGGTTCACTTGTATTCCGGATCAATACCAAAATAACCAATAACGAGTGGGCAAAATGTCTCAATGTTAGTGACTAGTCAAACGCACCACCTCGTGTGGATGAGTCGTTACGGGAGGCGAGCTGCCTACTTTTGAGCGTTTGGGAATTACTAGAGATTGGAAGAGGGGCGAAACCATAAAACAGATCACGGAAGGAAAAGGTTCAACCTGGCATCTCGCCAACTGATAAGTGGCAGCCTTGAGTAAGAAAACTGAAGCTTGAAAAATACAAGAGCATTCCCAAAGCTGTTGGATCATGATAGAGAATCAGCTGAATGGGTACCGCCTGCGACACTACGCAAATCGGTTAGGAGTGTCGTGGCATGGTCGGACACACAGAAGCGTGCCGGTTAACAAAAGAACTTCAAGCAGTTTGTATTAAGGGTAAAGTAGACAGCTAATCTGCCGCAAGTTCGCCCCGCCACCAGAATCGGAAGGGCCCATTTAAACAATTAAAAGTGGTTTCAGTTGGGTCATGATTTCGCTTGCAAGCTTTGTGGGCTTTCTCATGCGACTGCTTAATTGATTATGTGGTGCTCACTCGAGTTTTGGCTAGTGCTGTGTACTCAGGCCGTGCAAGTGGTACCGTAGCCTAAGAACATACCTGGTATGGTCAGTTGATCAGCATCAGACAAACGCTCAAGAAAGCCCCGTGTGCCAAGTTTAGGTCCGCTAGCTACACACATCTGCACAGTACTTAACGATAAAACTGTGGAAAAATTTTACCGTAATTGGTTTTGAGAGAGCAAACCTGCAAACCAATGCAAACCAATTTCGACCCATTCGAACAGGATAGCCTAGTGGTTAACACTGCGGAATTTCGTTTCGATCGTCGGGGTTCCAATCACTAGATTGGCGACTTCGAATAGGCCATCATTTTGAAAATTGTGCACACATGTTGGTTCATCAATAAAAGACCTAAGAAGTGCTCAATTAGAAGACTGCCAGTAGTATTGGCACAAACCAAGGGGAAATTTCCTGTGGATGAAAGCGGTGGTTTTTTCTCCAAAACCTGGTTTCGCTCAAAATTAAATGGTTGTTCTGGAGTCAAGGAATAGGAATGAAACAAATGCCTAGTAGTATGGAATAAAAACAAGGCTAATATAAACTCCAGCTCCCATGCACCTCCTGTGACTGGAAGCGTAAGTTCCTCCTCAATAATCGGAACAATAGTAGGATTTCATGAGATCTACGATGCAACCAGCCTCTAACACATGTTTAGTTATCGTGCTTTTTGGACAGCCGGAAGTGTATCCGTTTAACCACTGTGACACGTGTTTGATGCTGGGTCTATATACAAGGATCCGCATTTACGAGGTTAATTGACGTATGGAGGCACAGGACCTATCTTCCGTAATGTCACACCTCGCATATTCATTCACATCCTTTTGGTCAAGCTTCTCTACACTCGGGTTGGTGGCAATTCCTGCTGAAAATTTTGACTCAGCTCGTCCCGATCTAATAGGGAGGAAGCCTACAACCCTGGAATACCAGGGTCAATCGGAAACATGAAGTCGGGAGCAATTTATCCAAGCTTCTTCAAAGAGCCGTTCGGACTAGTTTCACAGAACCTGAAAGGAAAATGACCTTGCATGCAAGCTATGGAGGAGAGTGGTCGTGCTCAAAGAACAAGTGAGCTGGGATGCGGTCCAGCAGAAAAAGGAGCATAACTTTTCGGCTATCTCAAAAGAGCATAGTGTCCGGGTTGTAAACACATTGCCACAATAAACAAATGCGTTTTAGCTGCTAATATGCGATTGTGCATAAACAGCAACATAAACATCATGGAAGTGTACAGTTGCTGCGAACTGCTATTCAAACTAGGCTATTCGAATTGGGCGCAGATTTGATACGCGGCGATCGTCCATCAGCAAGCAGACGCATGGAGCGCCACCACGTGATTTCGCGGTATTGTCCGGTGAAGGTCGCGAAATAAACAAAAGTGCAGGCAAGCTAACTGATCACAAGACGAAAGTGGAACAACTTGCTAGGTCAGCTGACTGATCAATGTGTCCCGGGAAGAATAGCGCGCACACGCGCATAAGCAATGCGTTGTGTAGACGCTCGCATTTGCCCACCACAACTGCTAGCTGGCATGCAGAAAATAAACAACCACGACAAACCGACACTGCTAGCAAACGCTGTAAAAAAATGGTTGGTACGATCGGGCTCTATTGTGTACACAGGCAGTAGAGGAAGCGAGAAAACGCACGTACGAAGCAGCTCGAAGTATGCAACAATTTCGAGCAGGATGAGGAGTAATTATTCAAAATTTCGTTCAAACAATTATAAATGCACTTCAACAAGTGGAAGTTACATCACCGTACATTTCGAATCAAGACAGTCGCCAGTTCATGCGCAGATGGTCTAACTAGACTAGGCTGATAACAGCTCCGTGGGATGCAGCATGAGTGCCCTCCCGAAAGCGACCTCGTTTGCTTAGCCTTCACATTCTGTACAACATGGTAAGTGATAATTCCGTAAGATCCACCACGCGGTTTTCTTCCGGTAGCGTGTGAATCCTGCCACACCGTTCCTAAAATTTAGCGCGCAATTAGTGATCCACTTAGGGATCATGTCCCCTACGGAGAATGGGGTACTGTACCAACTTCATTATCAAGGATGGCAAATCAGTGTCGCACGCGAATGCTTTCCTCCCGTGCAACGATGATTTATTCCAAATGATTATCGTGGAAAAAAAGAATAAAGGAAGAGGGTATGGGCCTCGAACCAGCCTGCTAAAAGCACTAGAGGTCCCCACAACTCTAAACATTCGATCACACAACCTAGATAGAAATCGACAACAAGAATACCATTGAAGTCAGTTATAGACAAAGCTCGCAAATTCGGTCGTGGCCGACATCTGGTGGTCTATCCAAGGGGTTGGCCTCTTTGCAGAGGTCCACTTCGAGAGGTGATTTACTGCCGTTTCCCGGCTGAGAACATTCACATCTTCGAACGCCCAGTTAGAATAGACTAAGTTGCAAGCCAAACAATGAGATCGGTCTGAAATCTTCGGAAAGGGGGGAGGATTTGAGCGATAAAGCCCGCGGGCAAGTACTAGGAACAATGATTGGACCACAAAGGGCCAAAAGATACAAAGGCAGGAGTGACGAAAAATTTAACTTTGTGTTAAGTATTTGGAAAACCTCCCGTTATAATCGACGGTCTTCTTTCAGGTCAAGCGGGCCGCCTAGAGTATTCGAATTCTGGATCTCGAGGTAGTTTAGTGACTGAGGCATGAACTTACTGACAAGAAGGTCCGTAGTTCGATTACTACTGTGTAGGCCAGGGCAACCTGGCAGTATCCCAGCCCTCGTGTTTCCTACCAGTGGCATGGCAATTAGGCACCGAAAGGGTGTTACGCCATTATTCGAACATGTGGGTATTCAAATATAAAAAAAGAACAAATTGCCCAAATATGGTACCTCCTCAGCGTTTAGTTGTCACGCAATTAGAAGGAAGATGCATACAATCCGAAAAAAGTGCCGGAGCGCCCAAATCCAGATAGGTGCAGTGGAAGAAAAAATCGAAAAAAAAATCGTTTAGTTGTAGCACCTTTCCGATGCCCAGCTGCCATGCCACACGAAATAGGCACGAGGGCTGGGATATTGACAGGTTGCCCAAGCCTAGACAGGGGAAGTCGAGAGGCAGAAGTCGGGTTCGAACCACGGACCTTCCGGTTAGTAAATTCGCGCTCTAACCACTTGAGCCATCTGGAAGAAACAGGGTTGTGTTAGTACAACGCGCCTCCTGGTCCTTTCCCAAGCGTATGAATAATCCATTGAAGCCAGCATTCCACATGCTTACTTTGATGCAAGTATACAACTGTTTAAGGCCTCATTTCACAGTAGAACAGCTCAAAGCAATTATTTCATTTGCCTGACATATCAAACAAATGGAAGTACGGTAAAGAATGTGGTGTTCGTCCCTAGTGGCGTGGAAAGATGCGAGCCCTCACCTGATAAGAGGAAGTCACTGCTTGATAAAATCAGCTGCTAACCAAAATTGGAAACGCAACAAATATCGAACAAGCAAACAAGGGGAGGCGAACTGTTCGATTTTCACGACAGATAGATACAGCACGATACGCGTTCAGCTGATTCCGGATCACGAACAACAGGTGATACAAGCCTATAATTCGTGACACTCACTCACTCACCTGACTTACGGCATCACGTGCAATGTTTGCCAAAGCACTCTTAGCGCAGCACCCTAGATCAAACATTGGTTTCTGATGACTGCGAAGTACCGGAGTGCCAACCACAGGAGAGAAACTCTGAGATATCTGAGAGGTCGCCGGAGATGAAAGATTGGACGCTGAACGAGTGGTCCCATGAGGTTCGGTGAAACTCACCGGCCATGTGCTTTTGGGGCTTATTCTATTTGATTGTGTCACTGAATACGATGGTTGTGTTGGGCGGAAAGCCGCAATGGTACCACTGGTGTCATGTTGGTGTACGGATGAATCTGGCTGTTCAAACACATAGCGCCTAGGGATAGACACTGGATCCGATTCCGCCGTGTCCATGGGTGATGACGAACATCTGTTGAGCGGAACATTCGACCCAGGCGAATAGTCAACATTTTCGAAGCCTGACTGAGCGTGGAGTAAAATATCATCTAGTGGTGACTGAAATCCGGCATCTGAATTACTTTTGTCATCGTGTTTGAGCGCCGGATCATTTGACGGTGGCATGAAGCACTGATAGAGTGCGTGTAAATCATCGAATAAGCCAGAGGGAACTCGGGGAGGTTCCGAGGTCTTCCCAGATGTATCTGCAAGACTTTTGTACGCCACTTGTTGATAATCTGACTGCTCACTCCCTACAATGCGAACAAAAGAGAGCCGAGTTAGTTATTCGAGAACGTCAGACCAAATGGAAAAAGATTTAGTTTCACTCACCGGTCCACTGAAACATATGAACACAGCATCTATGATAAAAGCCAGTCTGTACCCATAGTATGCGCCAGAACAAACCACAACACTCACACTGCTTTCTAATTTCGCTGAACCACAAGACTTTCACCGAATAGCTATCTAGAAGAAATTTAACCAGAAACCACTAACAATGAACTAACGGAAGAAGGTCCTATATAAGCACACAACGGCTAAACGTCGTTTGTCCATCGACGATTGATCTAACCATTGCATCACAACTTTCGACCCACGAAATGAACTATCAAGGATAATTGAGGAGTGAAAATCTTCCATAAATTGTACCCATGTATCACCGAGGGTCACTCAGGATAACGTCTCATTCGGCATTCACAACGCCACAACAACACCTAACCACCAGATAATGTAAGAGATCGGGGCCTCTGATTTAGTCAACTGAACAAAGCGCCACAGCTCAAGTAGACCCATAGCCTGAGGCTATTTGTTTCATGCCATGTCATCATGTCGGTCGTACAGACAAATTTCACGCACCAATCCTGCCCAAAAGACAAGTATATGGTTGGCAATGAAACCTGGGTCTCGACAGGCTTTGAGAACAGTGACCAATGAAGTCGCAAATTCAAACTATAAATGGAAGATGCCCTCCAAAGTGTGCACTGTTTGCCCAACTTATACGAAAGGAAGGAACGTAGCAAGCTTGGAGAACGCAAACGTTTCACAAGCGAACTGGTGAGTTCTCTCAACGAGGGCAACGAGCCAGAAGAGTGGTCTATTCGACGGGCAGTAACACCTAACAGCTGCAGCCAGAGAGACTCGATCATTGAATGACCAACGGAAATTCGATAGTTGGAATGTGCAGTGAATCGAGGTAAATGAACATGCCGAATCCCAAGGCCTCGCATATGTTTCCCCAGACTGTCTCGATAATGATTGTTTGATAGAAGTCGTAGGGCCTTAATAGCAAACTGGAGACGAGTCGATGTGAAATCCGGGTATCCCGACAGGTGTGTGAAGCTTAGAGTTTCACCCTATAGGTTAGAAACTTTTGGAATATATTGAATTCACAGCGATTCATCCTTAGATTTCTACCGGAATACTTTAGGACGATCGCGGAGCAACCGAAACGTCTGATGGAGAATGGTTCACCTTAACACACATGTGGTTCGTCATATTGGTATTTCTAGAATTATGAGACAACATATGAATCAGATTTGATATTCAACCCACAATTGTGTACTGACAACTAACAAAAAACTAGTGACAGTGAGTGGGTGCGCGCCACCCATTAAAGCCGTTTCATCGACCCGCGTGTCCAATATCGACCAAAACTGAAAGGATTATGAACACAATCGGAATCTCACACAAAAGTAGAACAACAAATGTGAGCCAAACTACGGCGGCTACGCCAGTGGATAGGGAAAAACATCAAGATTTGGCAGGTGCGATCAGTACTACGTCATAAGCATAAGCAACCGGTACCACGTTGTACTACTTGCTAGGTCTGCCTACGTAACAGTTTGAGAATCCACTATTCCGACTAAATGATCTTTGCAGTCACCGAGAGGTTGAAAATGTAACAATTCATTGCTGATTTCCTAGAGTGTGCCATTTGTGTACCTGCCAAGACCATATGGAGCAACAGAAGTCACTACGTCCGTGAACTTTGTGCTCCATCTGAAACGTACATTCAGAAACAACTGGCTCACATTTATGGATCAAACAGCCGCATCAATAAGAAGTGGTTATAGAAAACAAGCGGAAACAGCTACCAATGCGCACGGTGGGTAAAGGCTAAGAATGAAACAGAGCAACTACAACTGATTGCACTGTATGTGCAGTGAGAACAACAAGGAAGTTATGTGAATGTAGGACAGGTTCGTCCGCGTGACAGGTCATGTGAGCCGGAGAGATTCACACTGATTGGCTGATTCAAGCGTTAAGCGGACAACCGCTCTAATGCTGAAATACCAATATCGGGTGTATCGATGTGAGTTCATGAACAGAACTGGGAACAAGAAACATACTCCTGAGACTAGTGAGAAAACTTGTGTACAAACGCCTCTAATTATCGTGAACCACTGCTTAATTATGAAGCGCTTTAGAAAACCTCTGCAATCGAGATATCTGGCACGACTCAGTAAGCTCCTTCAAAAGCGTCGGTAAAATTGAAAAGGGAAAAGTACGTCCAACGGAGGGACGTTGGAACACGCTATTTCTGCAAATTTCAACATAAAGCCAGCATCTTTGAATTCGAATTTGGAAACAACCTGGAAACAAGCACAGGACAGTCAGAATGACGTTGAGATTACGAGCAAACGACTGTCATCTCAAGGATCACAGGTTCGATGAAGCCGCCCGCAAAAAACTGATGAGCATCACTCGGGATTAAACTCAACCAAACATGAACAATTATTGCTAACAAGCACACAAGTATTCTCAAGGAAGACCCAGTTAGGTACCATGCATCAATCAACTGATCTGTGTAATGGCCTGACTTCGGAAAACAAGACAGTATGTGATGACTGAGCTCTGTGAGATTGACAGGAATAGTCAAAAGCAGGGTAGTGCTAAAGCGTGCTCGCAGATCAACCAGCTTCTGGGAATCGACTAAACAAGCCATAAATTGGTGCTGTCATTCGTGGTGAACGGATGGTCCCGTCAAGTGGACTCAGTAGAAACCAATGCATCGATTTCCCCCAGGGAACGTTCGAGTTCTTTTTTCCGTGTCAAGTTGCTACAACAACAAAACAACTCGAAGTGAAAAACAATCTGAACTACGGAACACCAGCTGCCTTGCACAGAACGCACGACTAACCTGTGTGCAAAGTGTGTCGCTCTGATTCCCCCAAAACATTGATCTGTTCATCTGCAAGCACGCTACCCGAAAAGTTATGGCTACACTCGGCTGGTTCAGAAACGTTGCTGCCCGAGTGTGGGAGGGAGAAGTCCAATACAAGGCCACTGTCTCTATTGCTCGTATCCAAAAGCGAACTGGAAGCCATCGCAGCTGACCCAGAAGTCCTGACAACACTGCCAGGTAGATCAAGAAGGGCTGAAATATCAGCATCATTCCCACTGGTTTCACTGTTGTTCCCCGAGTCCATAGCTGCCTGCCACGGCCAGGGTGATGCAAGGAATTGCCCGGTGGAATGCGAGTCCGATGTGGACAAAGTCGTAGTCGTGGCCTGGTGGCTCCATATATCACCTACGTAAGAGTGCAACAGAAAATAGGCTGCGTGTTGTACATCAATGACAAGAATAGAATTAATAATAATAATAAATAAATAAAAGACAATAAATAAGATCGGCGAAAAAATCGGTTTGAATGGATCGAATGATTGGAACGGCTAACACTGCCTAGATTAAGGACGCGGGCTCAAAAAAGATGCAAATGTATATCTTTGTAATGTAGTGCTCATAAGGTTGCTGAAAATCCGTCGACAAAATCCGTCGATGCCAATATTTTGAAATTTTATTCTCACGGTTAAAGTGAGGTTTCCCACAAGCTAAAAAGCCACATTGGCTCACCGTCAATGTCTAGCCACCAGGCTACGCGTGACTGTTATCGTTGAAAACACGAACCCTTGTGCTTGATGATTTGGTTTCCAAGTTGTTTATTCTTAAAGTCGAGTATTTCTGCTCTTCCCCAGTGGTAATCGACGCACCAACCCACTAACATCAATGTGTGAATTCAGACAAAAAAGCTAGGCATGGGGAATTCCGCAGAATCCATAGTCACGCAGACAACAGACAGCTCCCAGTACTTGGAACAAAGCTTCTCCACATCTTCGGCGTTCTATTTGCTCTGGCAACCAGTGTGAATCAACTTATCTCAACGAAATCCGGTAGTTTATTGCCAACTGGCATCATCATCATCATTATCAGCGGTATGAACCGCGTACTTGTCGTACAGTGGTTGTAGCTGCTACAATATCGTTCATCGATTATTTGGTCCACACAACCACCGAGTGATCGGGGTTAGTGAAGCCGTGATTCGCATACTGACTAAGGAGGATTGCACCGAAAAACCCACCAACGGAACCGGAAGTCAAATTCGTTGAGAACTAGAGGCAAAATCATAGTCTGAATACGGTCAAATTACAGTAAGGGATGTGAACGGAACGTCTGTTGGTGTGAGCAGTTTACACACCCTTCACTGGGTGACGGAATTTTCAGACGCCTTGTTCACGTTTGGATGCGTAGGTGCGATTGGTCAATAATGAAATGAAATATGTTAAAACATCATTTTCGACCGTTCAGTCCCCTATCTTTTTTTCATTATCCGGTTGGTCCTGAACCCCGCAGAATCCATCAACAATGCGTCTTTGGTTGTGCCAAGATCCAAACTTTGAACATCTGGCATGCACGGTAAACGTTTTCGAACTACCGCACCAATGCAAATTGAACGCATCTGAAAAGGTAAGCTGAACGGGCCAGTGTGTTCGCACTACAGTGGCTTTTGTGGAAAAGGAACAGTATAAAGAACATCAATAACTGAAAAGAGGTCAGATATACTTTGGATGGTGTGTCACCTGACCAGATTTAAGATAGGACATTCACACCAACAACTCATGGTTTCGACACTAGGTAAAGCAAGCAGGGACGGCATTCGATGGGTGGCAGGTGGTGAAATTGTTTGCTGAAAATTCTGGACGGCTGCATACTTCTTAAGGCAGACGTAACAGGAGCCCCATTCGTAAGATTAACTCATGAGTATCAAAACCAATCCAACAGGAAACTGAAAGCAAAGTAATAAATGGTTTGTGATCAGGTACACACAACTGTAAAAAAAACGTACCTCGTAAAAAGTGAACGGAACTGTTGGGCATAGGCATGGAACGATCGAACGTAGATTCCAGACCATCACCAACCACTTGACTGTGACTGCGGCTTGCAGGGAAAATGCTAGCATGAGAGTTGCCTGACAAACCAAGAACCTGTCCATTCTCTTGATAAGGATATTGTTGCGACTGCTTCCTTTGTCCAGTGCGCAGCAGCTGTTGCACATTTGGACTCTTGGACGATGGACCGATCCCTGAGCAGACAGGACGAATAGAGCCGGAAGCATTCGGGATACCAAAAGCACTGCTACAGCCCGGGTAAGTAAAGGTGTATACGGAAGTGGGGTTGGCTATGGGGCTAGATGAAGCCACAGAGTCCCGAGAAGTCATTGAAAGCCCGTTCTCTGAACATACAGAATTCCCACTTCGGTGTCTTCCCTTGTCTCCGAAACCAGATTTGGTTGTCAGGACATTGGTCAATGCTGTGGTGAATGCGGAAAATAAATATAGATAAAACTAAAATACTAACTCTGAGCCAGCACGAAAATTTCCACATGCATAGCTCGTCAGGAGGACCGGTGGTTCCAACACATTTGCTAGCTGGTGACAAAAGCTTGCGGAATCAGTCTGAGTTTCCTATCAAAACTGTTACAGTTGTGTATTCTAGATTTAGAAACGAACAACCTCAATTTCCATTGAGCAAACAGAGTCTATGTTTGGAAACAGAAAGACCGACTGCACTGTAACGTTCTACCTATCCGATAAGCGATTTGGTTCCACAAGCAGTATATGAGGTAAAACGGAAAATCGATTTAATCCTGAGTTTATCTCATATGCGTGCCTCACCGACACTACGATTAGTACCAGAATTAATTTCAGCTCATTGTAGTCAAACCAGTCAACTTACACAAACGAGTGCGATACTGAATACATTTCAGCTCATTCAAACCAGTCAACTTACACAAACGAGTGCGATACTGAATACAGGTACCATAGATCATACTGAGCTGAAAATCATCTCCGCTCCGTATATATATATATATATATATATATATAAACTTTATCTTTTTT